ATTCAATTCCATTACTTCTAAGTTTTTTTTTAGATTGTAGCCTTATATGTTCAAGCATTTCATGTGAGGTAGTCAGATATCTTTGTATTTTCAGTGATCGGCATGTTTGAATTTGGTCTTTAAATAGGTTTTGTTCTCGTCGACTTTGTCGTTTTGTTGCTAATCTTTTTCTTCCTAGAGATATTTCCATTACACTGTTATAATAAACATGATTCTGTTACCTCGTCTACGTTATAAAGGGATATAACTTATAGAAAAAGTAGTAATAAAACATTTTATAGCGTACAGTATCATCCACATTTCCTGATACGAGGCTACACCTGAAGATTGAACTTATAAGAAACGGTATGCAATAAAAAGCACCTGAACACGTTCTACAGCAGGTGTTAGATTTTTATTAAAAATTTCCAAGATCGTCCAAAATCGATTTAGCTAACCATCAACTATAGCGATAAGAAGTGCCGTTTACTAATTTAAAAGGCATCGCTCATTCGAACAGAATCACACGCGTAGCGTATAGAACGAATATTAAACTCTCTTATTTAATAAGAGTGCTCCAGACTAGCTTATTCACAATATCTTTACGGCAAGCACCATGGGATGTTTAATGCTTTTAGCGTTGTCTGACACGGAGCTACGATAATGAGGCGTCAGACGAGTAAGGAATTTAAAAGCGCTAGTTTACGAGGCATCTCACACAGAACAGAAGAGAGATAGACACATATACCGATACCTTAAAGAATCGTCATGGAGATTTAATGTTAATCATTCCACCCACAAGCAAGCGGAAATGCCACAAGTACCCAGAGGCATAATGATTTTCTCAGCCCAGCTTAGATGTGGCACAAGACCAAAAGTATGGGACACCCAGTGAGGTTCGAACAGTCGTAAGTGATCTACCAAGACAAGATTTCTAACCATTACACCATGTCGAGGTACCCGAGTACCCAGAGGCATACAGGGATTGGAAGAGAAGAGTATTTTTTTTAAGCATTACGCCCCGAGCAAGGCGTGAAGCCACTAGGATGCAGGAGGTTGCAGAAGATTTGGAGCGACAGCAGATAGGAGTGATAGAAGAAAGGATGAGGAGAAGGATAGTGGGTAGATCAAGGTAACTGGATATGTCGATTGACATTACATTTGAATAGTTGGAGATTATAGCTCTCAGGGAAACATTAATTTGGAAGGGTGTTCCACAGGCGAGAGGTGCGATGTATGAAGCTATTGGACTAGAAGAGACGGCTACATTTAAAAGTTTCTACAGTGTAAGGGTGGGAGCGGGATGCCAGCCTCGTAGGGCGCTTGAATTCATGGAGTCTGGGAACCAGTGAAAGCAGCTCGAGGGAGCAATTACCATGAAAGTATTTGTAAAAAAGACAGAGAGAGGCGACGGCGCGTCTGTGAGAGAGTGACTGTAGACGAGACGCCAGATCAGGGCCAATTATATTACATATCCGTTTCTGGATCTTGTCAAGAACTCCGAGGTAAACAGAAGGTGCCCCAGACCATATATGGCAGCAATACTCCATGCAAGAGCGAATGGTTAATTTGTATATTTGAAGTATCGATTCCGGGGAGAGAAATTTCCTGGCGCTGCACAAATAGCCAACTTTCCTCGCGGTGGACGATGCAATTGACTCGATGTATTCGTTCCACCTCAGGTCAGCAGTCAACGTGAGACCGAGCAGACGCAGGGAGTTGCTCTCAAGAAGTTGACTATCAGACATTCTAATGTTCAAATCCTTGATAAGAATCAAGGAGCGTGAATTGGTCCTTGTCACGCTGCACAAATTCTTACAGCAGCGCCTCAGGGTCAATGCCACTGCTTAAATCAAAATATTGCATGCAGTACTCAGCATCGACTTCATAACCAGGAGTGACTAACCGAGAATTATAATGATCGTATCAACCCCACCCTTATAAGCATGTGGCCTCATATTTCTGTTTCCCTTCTAATGCGAGGGTTATCTCGTCATTGAGAGGGACACCAATCAATGGCTTCTGATGACCAATTATTTATTGAATGATGCAATCAGGTATTAGATGGTCAAATTTAAGCAACGTTGAGCCTGGTCAGTACCGAGATGGGGTTCTGTCTATATCTTCAATTTTAAACAATATATAATACCAAGTGCTTCATGTCTGGTTGTTTGGCTGGTGCAAAGGGTAACGGCCAGGAATCGGAAATTGGAGATCCGAGTTCTAATTCCAGTTGGGTTTCTTATATTAACTTAGAAGCAAATACTCGTGGAAAAAATAAGAAACAGCTTATTATCACCCAGTTATGGTTTAAATAATAGGACTTGTATCAGTAAATCATTATTATCTCGAAATTCTTGCAATCTAAAAACATTTCCTGGCTTTAAATAACCTCCAAATGGTTGATAATTTTCTCCGCCATCTTATCTAGACTTTATCAATTTATGCGCAGTACTAGATTGGCAATAGAACACATCAATTTAGAGTTGAACTGGTTAGATACAACCGTAATATCTTTATTTGTCTTCTCTCGCACTTCTCACTTGTGGAACATTCTTCCAACTCCATGCTTTACAGCCAACTTTGATCTTCAAAAATTTAAATGCAAAGACAATCGTTATCTTCTTGCTTCCTCTACTTTTATTCTTCTCTCTCTTTAATGACATTTCTCTTTTTAATTGTTCTTACACAATCAATAACTCTTGCGTCTTAATGGCTTTATTACCTTCCTTTCAGTTTTCATTGCATCCATCAAAATTCATCACGAAGACGGTTTTGTGAATAAATCTTTAGTGGTTGAAGTTGAAGATGAATATATATTTCCTGACGAAGTATTTGTTTTCTTTATAATAATATTTATTATATGCAAACTGACATTTCAAAAGATACACTGACGTGCCAAAAGACACACTGACGTGCCAAAGGATAAATAGATATGCCACAATGATATTATAGAGATGGTCTGCTATATATCAGTTGCGCTTTGGGAGCTTGTTAATAAATATGTATACCATCTAGGTTGTTCAAGGCAAAATAAAATATTGACGTTCAAACCGATCGTGACAGTGGGGATTTATGTTTCTGAATAGTAGGCATATTAGATATTTCTCGAATTATGGTGTCAAGTATGAACCGTGAATGCCCGATCGGAAGTTTTACTGCATATTGATCGCGAACAAAGGCGTTTGCCTAGAACTGTCTGCGTAATGGCACAAGCAACACTTTCACACTGTCTATACCTTCAATTTTAAACACTTTAAACAATATATATATATATATATATATATATATATATATATATATATATAAAAATGAAAAAACAAAAATTTCGTAGCATTTACTTATAAAAAACGTGTAAAATACAAAGTAGAGCAATATATTATTATTATTTTATTATAAGAGATTATATATATATATATATATATATATATATATATATATAATATATATATATTATTTTTTATTGTAGAGATTAAATAAAAACTTTGTTGAAATCGTTATTACGTGTTTTCTTTCATGTTTCAATACTATGATTGTACATCTTCATGCAATGGTAAGTAACTGGTGATTAAACGATTTTTCACAATTTGTTTTTAAATTTTCTTAAAAATCATTTAATCACCAGTTACTACTTTCGCCTGAGAAAGTACATCCAAAGTATTGAAACGTGAAAGCTGTGTAGCGATTTCAACATGTTTTAATTATAATATTTTAAAATATATAAAATATATATATATATATATATATATATATATATATATATATATATATTATAGTGAATCATTAGATTAGTAAAGTTAATGATATATAATGGCGAAATCCTGCGCAAACAAAATTTTAAATGCGCATTAACCTACAAATCACTCGATGAATGTTATCATCCTTGTTTTTAAACATTATAAGCTGTATAAGGTCTTTCTTTAAATCGAGTGATTTGTAGGCTAATGTAACTTTAAATTTTTTTTCCGAAGGGACTTCGCCATTTTATAACGTTAACTTTACGAATCTACTTTTTATATGCATGATTCATTGTAATATAAATTGAACTGCACCACATATTTGATTTAAAAGAACTGATCCGCCGTGCAAATTTTCGGAATAACAACTGAGACATTGCTCTATTTATTGAATAATTTAGTTCATGCCACATTGACTGATGAACTCCTACAACAACAAAATTCTCAAACTGCCATATAATTATAAAAACGCACTCTCTTAAATTTTCAAAAAAAATCAACCTTAGCGTTGCGACTGCACGCTCCAAAAGTTTGTATCCGTTATCAATAACACTTTTCAACAAAACATATTTTGATTCGCATTTAATTTTTTCGTCTCGGATGCTACCTAAATTTTAGCAAAAACAAAATAATTTCCACGCCTGAAGATGACTGAATGTACAGTTGAATGTACTTGCGTGTTAAAGAATCTTTACTGGGCCTCCCAATAATTCAACCTTGTGTCACACTAGGGTTATTTAACAAAAGATATTGCATACCTGGTTTCTGTCAATCATTCAATTATCTATAACATGATAATCTTTAAACGCAAAAGTGCAATGTCGAATTTTGTTCAACGAAATGCAAGTACATGGTTAGGGTTACTGGTTACTACAGTGAATACTGCTTAATTCTACACTGACCCGAGGGCGGGGGGTAAGAAGTGAACATTTGAATTCGGCATAACAGATAGAAAAAATTATTTATGAATTTATTTAAAATACATTGATTATTTATATATATATATATATATATATATATATATATATATATATATATATATATATATATATATATATATATAAGTTTAATTACAGATAAGTTTACAGATAGATAGATAGATAGAAAACAAAGAAATTGAAAAAAAAAACAGTGATAGTTATCGATAAACCAAGAAATGAAGGAAGAAATGACAATTAGTATTATATATATATATATATATATATATATATATATATATATAGATAGATAGATAGATAGATAGAAGAAAAAAAAGAAATTGAAAAGAAAGAAGTTATGATGATACTAAGAAAGAAAGAAAGAAAGAAAGAACAATTTAGTATTAGATATAGCTAGATAGATAGCTAAAAACAGACTAACATAGATATATTTATATAGAGAGAGGTGAGTATTTTAGGACAAATATACCAGTATATTTACTCCAACAAAATATCAGGCAAAGGCGATATATTGGTTGACCATTAATACTGACGTAATAAGTGCGGTTCACGTGGATGCCTTGTTGGAAGTAAGTAAATGTTTTCGCTTCGAAGTGAAACAATGGTTTCAGAGTTATTTTTGGTAAAAATTTGTGACGGAATAATGAGTTCGATCCTCAGTGGAGGACCTAAAACTTTCACATCAATAACAATAATGTTCTTTTTATCCAAGCGCTATCGGCTATACATTTAGCCATTTTCAAAGATTAAATATTTTAACTGTTAAATAAGAAATAGTTTGTTGCATGTGTGTATTTATATAATATTCTCATTTTTCGAAACACCTTCGGATAAAAAGAACATTCGGACAGTTTTTATATAATTTATCATCCGAAATGCAAAATATTATTAGATCTCATGAGAAATTGTATAAAAAACAAAATAAATTCACCTTGTCTGTCGTTTTCAATGAAATGTCCATGAAAGAAGGATTGCTGCCTGAATACACCCCCACACACACACTATATATATATATATATATATATATATATATATATATATATATATATATATATATATATATATATATATATATATAGGATAGTAACTAATAAAAAAAGTGTGGCCATGAATAATCAACGTGAATGGAATTATGTTGAGATTTCGGTTGTTAAACTTTGTGAGCCACCTCCAGCCTCACCATGGCAGAAACGATTGTAATTATTTTCAGGGTGAATCTGTAGAAATCCTTGGTGGATATCTCGTACAAAGCAATGCAGACTCTTTATATAATTCCTCACGAAACCGATAAAGGCGTGCAGAGACCTCAGCTTTATCTAATATCGGTCTTATCTCCCGCCCATACGAAAGTCTAAATCAAATAATATTTGAGAAGATACATTTTTGTTGCAGGCCGTTTCCTTGCATGGCTTCAAAATACATTCAGTCTGTGACCCAGGGTACTTTGTGGTGTAAGAACTACGATGTCTGTGCTCAGAACATGAAGATATTTAATATTAAGAGAGAAAAAAGTCCTACCTAGGGTTATTGAACATCTGTTCCTTCAAATATCTGCCTTTGTTAAGCCACAGACTTATTCCAGTTTCCCTTCTCAGAGCGAATAAGTAACAAGTAAGGTTTTTTAAGAAAATGGCGAAAGAAAGAACAACTCTACGCAGAATCAGGCGTAAAAAATCTGGAATTTCTTGACCACATGTAATGAGAAAGTAAGGCTTGGAAAAAGTGACCCTCACTGGGCATATACTGAGGACAAGAGAGATAGGGAAACTCAGTGACGTGTTTCTGTTAATGGTTGACAAAATAGCAAAGTGCGAAATTTGCTATGGGTCACACGAACAAGAAAATGCAGCACATGAAATAATAATAATAATAATAATAATAATAATAATAATAATACCCACTGAATATAAAACCCGACATGACAGAGTGGGCCAATATCTACACTGGAAAATCTGCAACTTCTACGGGAAGGAAACTGAAAGAAACTGGTATGAACACCACCCAGACCCGGTTACGGAGATAGAACCTGTTACAATTCTATGGGATTACACAATACACACTGACAGAACAATCAAGGACAATCGGCCAGATATTGTTATTAAAGACCACAAACAAAAACGGTACCTCCTTATTGACATGGCAGTCCCTGCTGACTGCAATGTATCTTTGAAGATATTCAAAAAGTTGTCAAAATACAAGGACCTTGAAATAGAAATCTCGAAAATGTGGCATATGGGAACCTCAACAATCCCAGTTCTAGTTGGAACCCTAGGACTGGTTGGAAAAGATTTCAGTAGACTAATTGAAGGGATTCCTGGAAGTCCATGCCTCAAGGAGATACAAAATATTGTTCTGACAAGTACAGCCCACACACCTTACGAAGGGCTTTATCTATGTAATTTTTTTTTTTTTGTCAGTGAAAGTGTCATGACGCCATTTCTAACCTTAGATCCTGGGCGGCACCCGGAAAGAAATGTAAAATGCCAGAAATAAAAAAATAATAATAATAATAATAATAGAAACAACAACACGAATATATTACACGAATTGCGTATGTATGTGGGTGTGATTTCTTCGATTATATATATATATATATATATATATATATATATATATATATATATATAATTATTATGAGTCTACAGAATTGTGGTGTTTGCGCAAGTTTGTAATATTTCGAATTTGGTTATGTTACGATGGCCGCAGAATGGATAAAGATAATTCGTCGATTATTTTGTTTTCAGGAACCCTACTCAAAATTTAAAAATAAATAAAATTCAAAAGTACCCCATATGAATGTCCATTTCGCTCACGGATTTTCACCTTCATATATATATATATATATATATATATATATATATATGTTTCATTAAAAAACGACAGACAAGGTACTACGGTTGAGCTTTTTATTTAATTTTTCTTGTGTTCTGACAAGAGCTTTCTTTTCTGGACAAAGAGTGTAAGAACTGTCCGAATGTTCTGTATTTCCGAGCGCTTTCGGCTATACCTTTTAGCCATTATCAAGGATGATTCAATTATCAGCTTAGTAGAGTGTGTGTTCTGTGTATGTTCAGTGTGTGGTAGTGATGTTTTTAGTTTCGAATACGGTTAGCACATTGTGGCTTTGTTCATAGTTAATATTGTTAAGAGTTGGCTTTTTCTTTTTTATTATTAGAGCTTTTTTAATGAAACATGCATAAAGGAAGGATTGCTGCCTAAATATACAAATATATATATATATATATATATATATATGTATGATGGACTCTCCCGTCGGTTTCGACATATGAGGATCTGACAACTTAACTGACTCAGTTATGAAATTTTGTGCAATAATCTTAAGTGGCAGTTAAGACCCGCTAATGATTTACAAAGGAGGCCGCATATGGAGCAAAAGTAAGTATTGTGAGATGAGATCACTGTTAGATTGGTTGTCCTTTTAGATCTTACTCTCGCTTCTTGAATATGATTCAGACAAGCTGATTGAAAACTGCTGAGTCCACTAAAACACGGTGATCTCCATTCTACCCTCTCTAAGGCTAAGGCTAGAAGGTGATATATATATATATATATATATATATATATATATATATATATATATATATATATATATCATAATCAGAGATAACAATTCAAATGGTACATACATGTCCCTTGATATTTTCCACGTTACATATTAAATATTATATTTATCTATTTTCGCCTACCGGTCCAAATATATGCGTCTATGTGTGTGTGTGTGTGCATTGTGTGCTTGCCAAAAGGCTACATTCAGATTTTTTTAATAAATAACTTGACAATATTTGAATTTGTAAAGGAAAAATATTCGATTATCTAAATGTCTCTCTGAAAATACGCTTGCATTTATGGGGAGCTTTTCTGTTAATCAAGTTCGCTAGGCTTTTATCGAAGCACAATTCAATCAAATATAATTATCTAAAATGATATTATAAACAGGAAAAACTAGAGATTTTATAAAAATGCGCACAGCCAATGTTTCATCTTTTATTCGTCTCGTACAAACCCCAAACATTATTTTCTCCCAGTTGATTTCCCGAGGCAAGCGCCACACAAATATTGATACTCTCCAATCCTCTTTAATTTCGATTGTTTGTAAAAGAGCGATCCTCCTTGTACCAATGGGGACCTAGACGTCCCCAGTCCTACGTTGGCGTTAAATTACACATAATTCCATCACCAAATTACACCTAAGCAACTGCTGCATTTGAATTCCTGCATATATATGCATATTTATATATCTGTATTCGCCAAGGTTCTGTCTCTCGTAAGCCCCAAGACAATTGCAGTTGAACTTCTTGAATATCTAACTTATCACCCTATATACGCCTCCGAAAAATTAATCCCGGCCGTGCACTCTGGAGAGAAAGCGCGAATTTGTAAACAGTGACTACTACTGCTGATAATATAAAACTTTTCTATGAATTGAGTCCTCTTGGTCACTGGTGTATTTATTCAAAGACGCAAAAATTCGCTTTCATCTCTACCGGCCGCTCAGGGGTAAAATCTCCAAATGAATCAAATTAGTCGGGTTTCAATCCCGGCTTCAGGCAATCAGATGTCTAGCCACGCTGATGAGCTGTAATAATTACGGTCGAGGACTCTGGAGAGAAAGCGCGAATTTGTAAGCAGTGAGTAATACTGATAATAATACAAAGCTCTTCTATGAATTAAGCCCACTCGGTCACTGGCGTGTTTACTCAAAGAATAAATGCGCAAATATTCGCTTTCCTCTCTATCGGCCACTCACAGCTCAAGGGTAAAACGTCCAACTGATAACAAATTAGTCAGGTTTCGATCCCGGCTTCAGGCAATCGGATGTCTAGCCACACTGATCAGCTGTAATACTTACGGTCGAGCATTCTGGAGAGAAAGCGCGAATTTGTAAATAGTGACTACTACTGCTGATAACACAAAGCTCTTCTATGAACTGAGCTCGCTCGGTCATTGGGACGTTTATTCAAAGAATTGATGTTAATGTTAACCTGGTACTTTTTTTATAGTTCGTATATAAGGCGACCCCAGCTTCGTGATCTGAGCAATACTAATGGGCTTACCGTAGTCAAATATTGTAGTGCTGGGAATCATCCTGGATATATTTTAAAGCAAATAAACCGACCCCAAAATGGCGGGAAAAGCAAATTACTATAAAGTAACTCATACGAAGATCTTGATTCCGTATATTTCTTCTCGGACATGACTCACTGTGGCAGCTTCTTTAGCCTGGACCAGTAAAATGCAAAGAATAAAATAAATAAAAATAAATGTAAATAAAGTGAGGAAAGAGAATAGGAACACAACTGATTCATATATATATATATATATATA